GACAACATCAAGTCAAGGGTTGAGATCCCCTTACCGGTCATCTTTTAAAAAAAAAAAAAAATACTGCCTTTATCATATATTGGTCTCTGAATTAGATGGGTCTATTTGATCTCATTTATTTATGTAGTTTTTTCCTGTCCCAATACCCCTATGTTCATTATTACAGCTTTATATTATTTTTTACGTCTGCTGGTGCATGTCTACCATCCTCAGTCTTCTTTTTTCAAAATGTATCAATATGTTCAACATCAGGCTGTTTCAATCTCCACTGAGCAACAAACTTTTATATTTAACCATGTAGTGATCATATGCATTTCGAGAGCTTTTATGCATTTCAAAAGTATTCATTGTACGAAAACATGTCAAGGCACTGTGCTGAATCACCAAAGAACGCTTATAGTTTTGTGGCAGATAATAAGTAAATAATTAAAATATAATTAGATAATTACTTAAACAGTGGCAATCCAGGAAAGGAAGTATCTATCAGGACTGGTACCCTTGAGCTAACTCTTCAAAGATAAGCAATAGTCGATCACAAGGAAACACCGGAGAGAGGACATTTAAGGCACAGGAACTATTGCAAGGGCATAGCAGCACAAGTGAGTATGGCATGTTCAGAATACTATATGTGGTTCAGAATTGTTTCTTTTATTCTATTATTTGTTTATTCATTCTGGATTCAGAATCAGCTAGATCATTTAAGCTTATGTCAAATCATGAAGGCCTTCAAGAGTCTCTCTCAGAGACTGCTCTAAAGGTAATATGGAAAACTCATTAGGAGGTGAGTGAGAAGAGATATCACGCAATCTAAGTGAAGAGTGTAAGGAGATGGAGACCTGCCTGGACCCAGTGTTTGACTGAATGTGGGCATGAAGGACAAGAAGGAATTCACTCACTGAACAAGTTAAAATTAGTGAATGTTAAATGAGAATTCTTAGGTTTCTGGACTGAGCAAAAGGGGAGCTCGTAGTACTATCTTTAAATATCATGAATATAGGGAGTGGATCAAGTCTGGGAGATAAGATATTGATTTCAGATTTGGATGTTCTGAGGTTGAGGTGCTTGTGGTACACCCTGGTGTAAATGTCAAATAAGCTTTATGTGTATCATTCTGGTATTTGAGATAAACATTTATTTATCATCTATGTACATGTAAGTGGTTGTTGAGGTCATAACCAAGATTGGCTAGAAAAATGGTATAGACTGAGAAGAGAGTCTATCTTGGGGAAGATACCAGTATGTAAGCAGTGGGGAAAAGAAGAGTATTCTTCAAAAGAGGACAAAGAATTATCATGAAAACCACGAAGTAGGGAGCAGTTAATGTATTAAGCAATGCAGAGGAGTAGTAAATGACAAGAAACTAACCACCAAATCCTACAAAAAGAAGACACTGGTGACCATAACAAGAAAAATTTCAGCTGAGAAAAGGCAGAAGTCAGGAAATAAGGAAGTACAGATAGAAAATATCCAAAACAAAATTCAACATCTTTCCTTCAAATTCAACTCCTTTTCCTGTAGTCTCTTAGCACAAATATTCCCTTCAGCCTCCTAAACCAGAAACTTGTTAAACACCTAGCTCCTTCCCTCTCACTAATATACTTATCTAATTAAGACACTAAATCCTCTCGATTCTACTTCTTTAATATTTCTAATATTCCAGAAAGATAAATCCCAAATACATAATTACCTATGAATAGTGATATTAGAGATGATTTTAATATTTTTCTGTCTGATAGTTTGCTTTTTTTTGTTCTTTTTGAGACCAGCCGCACTGCGCTCACTGGCTGAGCACTGTGAGCACACCAGTCATCCCTATATAGGATCCGAACCCGCGGCGGGAGCGCTGCTGCACTCCCAGCGCCACACTCTCCCGAGTGCGCCTCTCCCAAGTGCGCCACAGGCTCGGCCCTTTCATGCATCATTTTATATCTGATATCTTCTTTTTGTTTCAATTTACTACCCTGGGTCAAGCCAGAATTACGGTAGTCCCCCCTTATTCACAGTTTATTACTGGTTGCCAACTGCAGTCCAAAAATATAGTATTTTGAGTGAGAGAGAGAGCATAACCGCATAACTTTTACTACAGTCTATTGTTATAAGTGTTCTATTTTATTATTAGTTATTGTTAGCCCCTTACTGTGGTTAATTTATAAACTTTATCATAGACATGTATGCATAGGAAAAAACCAGAATATTCACAGGGTTCAGTACCATCTGAGGTTTCAGGCATCCACTGGATGTCTTGGAACATATTTCCCTTGGGGGGGACTGCTATATTACAATTACCTCCTAACTTCTCTTTCTCCTGCTACTGTTGCACTTTTCCAATTCTGTCACAGGGCAGTCAGAATAAGCTTTGTAAATACAAATCTTAATAAGTCCCTCTCTAGATAAAAGTTTTTCAGTGGCTTCAGATGTCTTGTAGGATTAAGTTCAAACTTTTAGCACTTTGCGATAAAGTCCTTGTCTTATCTGTCTCATCCCCTATTTCCATTTTCCTATCGTTTGTTTGAAGCTCTTTTTCAAAGATAAACTGTAGCAAAAAGCTACTGGATCCCCATACCATGTTTTTTTCTTTTTTCCTGTTTTCTAGCCTCCCAGCCACAGCAGGGATCTGCCAAAACAAACAAACAAACAAAATTTGCAACTATGACTGAAGAAAAAAAAAATTCAACAAATTTACTGGGGGCTGGCTTGTTAGGTCAGTTGGTTAGAGCAGGTGTTGGTAATACCAGGGTCAAGGGTTCGGATCCTCTTACCAGCCAGCTACCAAAAAAAAAAAAAAAAAAAAATTATAAAATAAACAAAAAACCAAATTTACTGAATGCCCAGTTAGGTGTTGGAACTCTGTCTGCTGCTGGGGATACAAGGGTGATCAAAAAGACAAGGCCCCAGCCTTAATAAAACTTACATTCTAGAGGTGGAGGCAAACAACTAACAAGTAAACAAATAATCCACATAATTATTGCTTTTAATAACGACTATGAAGGAAATAAAATGGGTAACCACCTCTTAAGTCACTGAAAGTTTCAATAGAAGTAGGTAAAGGATGTGTACTTAATACAGTTCCATTGAATGGGTCTTCCATAATTTACTTAACCATTTTTCTTTCTTTCTCTCTTTTGGCGGCTGGCCTGTATGGGGATCCGAACCCTTGACATTGGTGTTATCAGCACCATGCTCTCCCAAGTGAACTAACCGGCCACCCCCATTTTTCTTTAGTGTTGGGTTTTTAGATTGCTTCCACGTTTTCACCTTTATACTAATAAATAGTGTTGTTAGGAACAACTTCTTTATTTTCATGGAATAGTTTCCTAGAAATGTAATTACTGGATAAGAACAATCATAATATTTTTATACACACTGACAAGTTGCTTTGAAGAGGGAATACCAATACACTCACCAATAAGAGTAAGCTGAATGCTGCTCTGAGAGGTAGTAGAAAAAACTCAAAAAGGCACATTTGGGCTCAGCAAAAGGAAAAAGTTGAGTGTAAATAAAGACGTGGGTTTACTAGTGACGGGGCGGCAGGGACTGACAAGGATGAATTTGCTCGGTGAAACAAGAAAACCCGATACTAAATCGATTTCCGCCACCCTGTGACCTTCAGAAGGAACAGCTCTTCCATGAGCCTTAGTTTCTTGAAATTCAGGCAAGTTTGGTTCAGTCTTTATGTTTTCCACAAACTTGAGACCAAGTATTCTCTAACCTCTCCAGATACCAGACAGCAGCTTGTGAACCTGGTGAAGATGAAATGGGCTGAATCAACGTCAGCCGCGAAGCGCCTTCTAATCACTCGCAGGTACTTCCGGAGGTCGGGACAAAGGGCTGAAGGCTCTGCGATTGCACTTCCGTATAATTCAAACTGCGCATTACGTCTCTGTTCACGAGCTGGGTGACCCGGGTGTAGAGACTGCGCACACTTCCCGCAGGCGCGAGGCGGGGCGGGGCACTGGACGGGGCGGCGCACTGGACGGGGCGGCGCACTGGACGGGGCGGCGCACTGGACGGGGCGGCGCACTGGACGGAGCGGGCTGGGACTCTGACTCGTCTCGCGGTTACTGGGCAGGCGCGAGTGCGCGACGCTCGGGAGCGACGTGGGGCGGAGTCTAGGCCAAGCGGGCACTGCGGATCTCAACTGAGCGTCACTGTGCTCGCCGGGCTGAGGTCGGCTCAGGTGAGGAGGTTGAGCCGGAAGTGGCTCTAGTCTTGGCGCTTCGGTGTTGTAAGTATCCTGCGTTTTCCTGTTAAGGGGGCGCGGCACCACCTCACCCCCTCCACCTTCCCTGCAGCAACCATGGCGAAAGGCAGAGTCTCCGAACGATCGCAGACGGGGGCACTCCACGCGACCCCAGAGGGGGACGGAGTAGCGGGGACGCGGGGTCCCGCGGCGCCGGGCGGCGGAGACCACCTGAAGGGTGAGTGGACCTGGGGACCAGAGCTGGGGCAGGACCAAAGGCGCCAGTGTGCTGGGAGGGGCTCCGGAGGGGAAGGGACCTCAGCGGTTCTCGGGGGTTTGCGGGAAAGAATGGACCTGCTGGCGCCGGCGGGCGGGAGCAGACAGTGAGGGACATGGGCTTGGGCCCCGCGCAGCACAAGGCCGGACGCCTAGGAGGTGTGTCGTAAATGCTTTTTTAGTTGAATTAATCTAAAAGAAGGAATGACACTGGTTTGTTGACGCCTAGGGAGATTGTAAGTTTTATAATAACGATTCTAGGCAGAACTGGAAGGAACTTTAGCATTTGTTGAGTTGTTTTGACAGGTGAAGAAATTGAGGCCCAGGGTGGATATATTTCTTGTGCAGAGTCACAAATCCATATGTGGCAGGAACACCTGGTTTTGAGTCCCTGCTCTGCCATTTATTTGTGACCTCGGACTTGTTAACCTTCAAAAGCTCAGTGTTTTGAACTGTAAAATGGGAATAATAATAATATCTACCTCATAGGTTGGTGCGTGGGTTAAACGAAGTAATTCATGTAAAGGTTTTTTTTTTTTTTTTTCCTTTTTGTCTCTTTTTTCGTGTCCGGCAATGGACGCAACCCTCAGTGTCGCGCCCGTACCGGACCGGGACCGGCAACGGGATCGCAACCCTCGGTGCTGCGCCCACCCCTCGCTCAGCCAGTGAGCAGAACCGGTCTGTATGTGGGATCCGAACCCTCGGCGGGAGCGCCGCTGGGCTCTCAAGCGGCGCACTGTAGCAGTGCGCCACCGGGCCGGCCCTCATGTAAAGGTTTTAGGATAATGCTTGGTGTATATGAAGTCGGGGCTAAATAAATGTTAGCAGTTACTGTTATAGCTTAAGTTCGCTCATTCTAAAGCTTTTTTCCCACTACATCATCTTGACATTTTTCAGATCTTTAAGTATTGTCTTAAGGATAAAAGTGTACTTAGAAACTAAATACTTTTAATTTCATCTTGTCATGGAGTTGTTTATTGTTTTTCCACAGTTGAAATGATTAAGCTCTTTAAATACTTTTAACGTTCATAAACTTGAAGTGATCCTAACAAATGGCCACCAGTGATGGCTAAGAAGTTCTTTTAATAGTGTATAGCAGAAAAAAATAATGTATTTTCAAATAATTAAAAATGTCTCCAACAGTCTAATTTCGTTCTTTAAACTTTATGTATTTGGGTATTTTTCCAACTTATAGATAGTAGAGCCAAATAACTTCATGTAACTACAAAAACTCACAAATGAATTGTTGTTAAAGTATAAATCTGCTTTAAAGTAAAGGAACATTGTTTTGAAGACCCTAGTACTGAGAGTGACAATAATCCAAGGTCTGGGTTTCCTGAAAAAGTATTTTCCAGGTAGGGCATCCCTGAAGATTGTCATTTGGTTTGAGATAGCATTTAGTTTTATTAATGGTTTTTTACCTACTATTTGGGGGGAAAAAAACAAAGGAAACTGCAACTTTCAAAGTGTTTTTATAATTGTCTTATTTTGTAATTAGAACAACACATTCAACACAATTATTCTTTTTATGGTGCTGTCAAATGACTTTTGCAGACCACAAATCTATAGGAAGACAGAGGAAAGAGATGTGAAGGCATACCTTCATGAAGAAGTAACATTTGGATAAGTGGAAAGGTAGGGGATTCTGGGCTAGGGGATACAGAGGTTAGCGTGAACCTTTAAGCCTATGTGTGTCAGTAAAGAGATCAGCCTGTCATGAGTGTATAGTTTCTGTTGGCTGGTACTAGGAGATAAGATTGGCCTGTTCAGAATAGTGTCAGAACGTAGAGGGCTTTACATGCTAGGCAAAGGAAATTTTTTGATCCATCCTATTTATTACTGATTCCCAGTTTCCTTTTCTTCTTTTTGCTCTCTCCGTTTGTTTGTTTCTCTCTCTCTTTAATTAATGTTAGGAATTCTCTTTATAGGCAAAAGATTTTGTGGACCTCTTACATGATATGGTTTGGTTTACTTGGTGGTAATCAGCTGTTGATGATGATGATATTAGTGAAAGGTTTGGAGAAGAGATAAAAATTTTACCTTTGGTTGAGAAATACACAGAAATAGTAGGTTCCTATAAATTCCATGACACTGACATGAATTTGTATTAAGTGACACATCTACATAACTTTGACAAGTAGTTGTCATCATGTATATGTTTGAAATATTTTACACTCTACCTGCAGTGTTTGGTACATTTAGTGGATTCCTTGCTCTTTTGATACATTTAGTGGCTCTGGTCTCTAGTTTAGGATCTGAGCCTAATAGATTATGGATGACTTTGAAGACTCGAGAAGGCAATAACACAGAAAGGCTAAATCTTGCGTGATGAGAAAGGGTGAGACAGACGAGGTAGAACCAGTTAAGAGGCTCTTAACATAATCTGTGTTTGAGAGTACCTGGACCAGAGTACGTATATGTTTTCTCTTTTGTGTAGTTTGCCCTGACCTGTTTACTAGCAAGTTCCCCATTTTAATTTAAGAGAACTCCTGTGACTGTTTTTTTTTAATATATAGGTCGTTACGCTTGTGAGGGGTGAGAAATCAATTTGATGGATAATGCTGAGCATTAAAAAAAAAATGAATAGAAGAGAAAATATCAGAGTGCTTTGCATGTAGTAGAGGGCAAGTATTGTTTCTTGAAATCTTTTTTTCAGTTACATAGATTTTGCGTAAACCAAATCATGATGTAAAGTTCCTTATTGTGGAACACACTCAAAAAATTTTGAAAAACACTGTCTCAAAGTTGATTTTATTGTTTTTAGAAGATGATATTGTTCAAACTTAGATGATAAATCCCTCTCAATCCCTGTTCTGGATCCTGCCTTGCTAATTTGGTTCAATAAAGGCTCCTTAAGCATCTGCTACAAGCAAGGTACTGGCTTAGAGGAAAAAGGAAGTTATGATTACTGATAAATGGGACCTACGGCTAGAATTGGCAGCTGGACATCAACCAATGTATCAGTATGATTTGTTGATGCCAGTCTCTTCCCAACTCTTATGTATCAGGATTGTTTCCCTTATAATCAGTAACAAACCCAATTGAAACCCTGGCTGAAAGTTTATTCGCTTATGTAACTAAAAACTCAAGAAATGAAATAGGATTCCTGGCTTTAGGCTGGAATCAGGGGCTCACTGATATCTTCAGGATTAGATTTCTTTCATATATTGGTTTGCTTAGTTGACATCAGCTTTACTTTAAGCTTGGTTCCTCTTGAAGGTCTGGGTAAGCTAAATGCTTCCTTATTAATTTTGAGAATCTTTGTCCTAGAATTAGGAGTAAAATTCTTTATATTTATTGATTAGATTGCCTCAGATCAAGTGCTCATCCCTGAGCCTGTCACTTTTGTCAGAGGGTCAGAATAACCCGATTGGCTCAGCCTGATGCATCTTTCAAACCCAGAAAATAAAGTAGGAATGGGACTGGTAGTTTTTCCAGTGACATAGATCTCTGTGGTGGGGTCACTCATGATTTCTCTCTATTTGTGCTCAACGATCTTTTTTTTTGACCGGTAAGGGGATTGCAACCCTTGGCAAACTGTGGTCCTCACCTTGCTCAGCCAGTGAGCACATCAGCCATCCCTATATAGGATCCGAACCCGTGGCATCGGCGCTACCAGCACTGCACTCTCCCAAGTGAGCCACGGGGCTGGCCCTGTGCTCAACAATCTTGAAGAAAGTTAACTTGTACCACTGATTTTGGGTTAGAGAGCTATAAGGAAAGGATAAGGATTTTAGTCAGAGGTGCTGGTTCAGATGATACATCAATGGAGTCCAGGCTGGGCATGGAAGGAAGAGAATCCAGGAGCCCAACAGCAGGTGTAAAATGGAGTGAGTAAACTCATGAAAGAAAAAAGGTGATCAAGGAATGGAATGTTGGAATTTTATTTTATTTTATTTGTCTTATTCTATCATTTTTCATTAAATATTGGAATTTTAAATGACCAAGGTAGAGCAATTCAGGTCATATGAAAACTTAGTGTATAGCCCCAGAAGTGGATGGCTAAAGTTGAATAGAAATGAGAGTCGAAGAATTTTGAGGCTGGGCAGATCATCTAAATGATTGATGAAATCTTTTAGGATTATGGAGAAGTTTACTACAAGTTGAATATTCCTTATTCTAAGTGCTTGAGACCAGAAGTATTTCAGATTTCAGATTTTGGAATATTTGCATATACATAATAAGATATCTTGGGGATGAGACCCATGTCTAAACATGAAACTCATTTATGTTTCATACTTATGCACATAGCCTGAGGGTAATTTTATAGAATATTTTTAATAATTTTGTACATGAAACAAGTTTTGTGTACATTGAGCCTTTAGAAAGTAAAAGTGTTCCTATCTCAGCCACTCATGTGGACCACCATTTGTGGTTGTTTGGCATCACCATCATTCCTGACTCCGAATTTATATGCTACTGATAGCAATCGTATTCTTATACTTATATTCACTCATAAATACTTAACAATAAAAAATATGACAAACCATTAATACAGTGAAAAAAATAATGTGTTCAGGGTAACTAAGCAACACAGTAGTATCACTAGAATACCTGTATCAGCTGATCAGCAAAAAGTTTTGGATTTTGAAGCATTTCGGATTTCGAATTTTCAGATTTGGGACATCCGACCTTGGTCTCAATCTCCAGTTAATGAGAGGGTGTACCTAAAAGTGGGTAGATAAAAGTGAGTGAGGTTATGTATGTTGATTATAGCAGAGTTGCAGGACATAAGCCTTAGAGAATGAGCATTTATACAAGATTGATAGTGCTGCTTCTGCTACCTATAAACGTGCTTTCTGTGTGGGTGTTTTTAAATAGTTGTTTGTATTTTATAGTTCTTTTAGCTGTTTAAATTTATACTTATGATACACTATCATTTACAGTTACTACTCATTAAAAAAATTTTTTAAACTCTTGAAATAAAGTTTACTTCCCATAATATTACAATGGATTCTTGTG